TCAAGGGGAAGAGGAAATGAATGAACGAATGCATATCGCGTTCTCTTACTGTCGCATGACTTTTCTCATTTATTGATCGATCGTCCGTCGCGCATTGAGAACGCGTGTTCTCCGAAATCTCACTGTAACGTGTCCGATCGGTCGGTCGATCGATCGATCGAAACGAGGAAACGAATAGTCGCACGCCTTATGCGATTGAGCGGATTCCGCGTGCAGTTGTCGCGCCGAATCGATACGCGCTCTCGATGCACACAGGTGCATCTACCGTTTATACCTTGAACGTAGGCGGAGTCACCTGGAAAACGGCGCTTAAGGAAGACAGGTGTTTGCGTGTGTGCACGTGAGCGGACGTGTTGGCGAAGTGAAGTTCTAAGGAATATACACGAGTGTAAGCGCAAATATCGATTGTATTGCCGCACAGTCGTACAATTGTTACAGAGCTCGGCGAGCTCGCCGCTTCGTTAACCGAGCAAGAGTATAACGGCTAGCGCTTACGTGCGCGCGCGTACGCCTCTCTGTTATTGCTTAACGTTAAGCGTAAGACGCGTGATTATTGTGCGAGGAAGGCTTCTGTCGCGAGGTACAGATGTTATCTCGAGAGACGTCGCGTGTGGAATCTCGCGCGAATGACGCGCGAGTCGCTTCCAAGATTCGCACATCTCGCATTCGCGAGCACAATTATCGTCGAATATCGCGTGGAGGGAATGTTTAACGTTATATACAGAGTAACACTTATAAAGTAACCCGACGAAAAGGGAATCGCGATAAATAGCATTTCGCTCGACCTTCGCTCTAATCATTTTGCATATTTCCGGAAATTCAAGTATTGCTAAGTGGCACGTGACGCGAAAACCATCGGATTTTTCGCGCAGTCTACGCCCGATTGCTGTCCTCATGCGGAATCTTTACGCGATCTCGCGATGAAAGAGGCACGTATCACTCGAGTGCATCGTTAAGGGCTCCGGGCAGTTTGTAGAGTGGAATTAAAAGATTTCGTTCGAGAGAGAGAAATTTTTTCTACAAGAAAATTGCGCGGCTCTGTTGTACTTGCTCCTGTTCCTATGGGATTATCACAATCAATTGCGGGCTCACAAATTGTTTTTTCGATCCTGCCACTTTGCCAAATTTTAGTTTGTTCCAGTGATCCTAATGCAGACAATAGTCACAATCGTATAAAATAAAATTCTTTTTTGATTTTCTCTTTCACATCTCTACAAGCGACTGCATTGTGCACGCCAACAGGAGCGTGCTGCAACGCGCGCTGCGATAACTCAGCTAATACGTAAGTTTTTACAATGAAAGAAAATCGTACAACTTCCTCAGAGCATAGCAAAAATATAGTGGAAAGTTCAAAACTGTGTCTTAAGATTTCTTCGTAAAGAAATTCTGAGAAGAGACACCTTTAATTTATGCCCGCACACAAACTACTCAGAGTCTTTAACTCGTCGCACGCGGTCGAGATTCTCGCGCGACTACTTAACGCGACAGAATATTCTCGCTTCAACGTTGCGCGTATGGAGAATCAATCGAGAGGATCCTCGATTCGAACTCCACCGTTCGTGACGTAAAACGCGGCGGCGAGCGAGGGAAGCGTCCGGCGGCGGCGTACGCATCCGCACGCTCGCACGTATGGCACACGGTCGGCCTCAATTCGCAACGATTATTTAATAGTTAAGTTATTGGCTCTAATTAAGCCTCCTCACCAATTTGATGATTAATACAATCCATTGGAAAACGCGCGCGCGCCGCTTCGTCTATTCTTAGAGACGCGTTCAGCGTTGCCAAACGCGGCCGGATCTTCCTCGTTTCGCGTTAATCGTCCTGCGAATATTCGACGAGAGAATTCGTTCCAATCGAAACGCAATTCTCGCGTTCAGATTTTCGAACACGACGGGAGGAGCACGGACCGCGGAAGAACTCGCGCGCTCAATTCGAAAGAAGGCACTAAGTACATTTTCGCGGTATGCCGCGTCCGCCACGTGACGGTCGGAGGAATGACAAGGAATCACTATCTGGTCGTCCTCTGACGCGAGACAGGATGTCCCGAGCGATTCCTCGCGCGTAAACTTAACGGATCACCTTTACATCGCATCCCTCACGATGCTTCTCGACGCGTCCCTGCTACCGAGGACGCGCTCGCGCGGATTCCGCGCCGGAACGTTTTATACTTTGTTCAACGAGATTATCTACGCGGTAGCACCATCGTAACGCGGCCGGTTTACGGCCGCCGCGAGATATCGTCCTTACTTTCGATACTTTATCGCGGAATGTCGCGCGCCTATTTTAATACCGCTCATTCACACTTAATTCTCCCTCCTCGCGCCCGCTTTTTCTGTCCTTTTTCTCTCTCTTCTCCCACTCTCTCCTTCTTTCTCTCTTCTCTTTTCTCACCCGTTCTCAGGCACACTCTGCTGCACTCGGCGTGTCGCACTTTTAGCGAACGCGATAACACCGGTATAATATTACATCGTTCTCGCCGGGATTCAATTAACGCGCCGCTCGTAAATACGTGCTGTATAAGCCGCCGGGATGACGATCAACGATAATGTGACGCGAAGTACGCCAACGCGAAGAAGAACAAGTACGAGAAGTAGGAAAAGAAGAAGAACAAGAAGAAGTGCAGAGGAGAAGGAGGTGAACAAGAATAAGAACAAAAAGAGAGGAAGGCTTCGCTTTGCGCGAGCTTTGAGCGAGTTCGCGAACGCGACAATAGCGTAATCCCGCGCGCGAATCTACGTTTGGACGGCCGTTCGGGGAAAATCACCCGTCACGTACAATTCAGTTGAGCATTTCGCCGGTGACGCCGGCGACTTCGATCTCGAGTCGCTGCGACATCGCAACGACGACGACGACAAGCTGACGTGTCACTTTTACGATCAGATTGCCACCGGAATCTGTTTCCATCTGTCACCCGGTCTCTAAAATAAAACTGGAATCGCGACTTCATCAAGGAGTCCAGTCGACAGTCCGTGTCTCTGCCTCCGGGAAAGAGCCGCCGTCGAAAGCAATCGAGTGCCGACGTTAATTACCGCGTGTTGATCGATAATTGCCGCCACGTTGCTCACTCATCGCCGGCGATAATCGACGGGGCACGTCGGATAATTGGCGCAAGAAAAAGCTCGGCCATCTAAACGCACATCCTATTAATACCATTCGTCCTCTTCTCCGCACGCGTGCGCTAATCGAGTCATTTTTCCCACGCGGAATGACAGCAACACCGATCGAAGTACCGCGTTCTCAGCAAGTGCGACACGCTCGGCGCGCCAAAGCGATCTAATATCGTCGTTTTCGACGTCAATGTCGCTGCTGCGCTCTCAAGTATTGCCATTATGCGTTACAGAACGGAGCTCCCGTAATAACAGTGGGTGAGCTAAACGCACGAAGGGAAGGTACGCGTTCCTCGCGTAAAGTACGCTCAGGGTTGCCTCTCGTTCCTCGGTGCACCTCGGCTCGTCGTATCAAAACTTCGAATCGTGTCGCCGATTTACGCAGCCGGGGCGTAATTTCGCTTTAATCGCGAGCGGACTTTATGCGCGTTTGTTCTCGCGCGAGAACATTATTTTCTTTTTGTATGAAGAAACACGAGAAACCGGAGACTCAGACGCAGTCGCCGAATGATAATTCGCCGTTATCAAGAGCCGAGGACGGCTCGTTTGCGGCGAGTCGCGTGCGGATTCGACCGATGTATATTTAGACGCGGCTCTTTCGCGGCGTTTCGCCGCTTTTGCTCCACTTTCGTTGCATTTATCGGCGAGGGTCGCGCGCATGTTCGCGTATACGCCGAGTTCGTATTATTTATGCGGCTATTAAACAACCGACATTTCTCGTACGCGCACGCGGCTTTTTCCCCCCCTCTCTCTCTCTCTCTCTCTTTCTCTCGGCTTAGATTCTTCAAATAATACGCCGCACGTGATATATAATATTGTTAAAGCACCCCTCAATGAACATTATCACGCCTCCAAGTCGAGAGCGTGTAATGAAAATAATAATTCGTTGAACGAGAGCCAACCCACGTAAGTATGGTTCGCGGTATTTTTCCTTCCTTCGTTCCTTCCTTCGTTCGCTCCCATCACTTTCGACAAACGTATTCTCAAGCCACTGTTTCTTCGATTCTCGTTCATGTGTCGCCTCGGCGAGAAGGGAATTGCACGAATTCGTCTTTCGCAGACGCGAGAAATCGTGCGTCGATCAAAATTTTTGGAATGTTGAACACGCTTGAAACGCCTGCGTACTTTTGCGCAGGAAAACGCTCTTTTTATCCTCTTCGACGCGATCTCAACGTTAGAGATCGTCTCGCGGCGTGGTTTCGAACCGATCGCCTGCGAGTCATCAATTCGCAGAAGAAGAGACGCAAGTCCGCGACGTGCGTAATGCGACATGGCAACTGTTAATAACTTAAGCGTTCACTAGAGTATAACAATTAATATCCGTAGAAAAAGAAGGTATCTAATTAGGAGACGGCGCCGCTCTAGGGTCGGCGACGACCCCGGCGTCGTTTGGTCCCGTCGACTCACCGAGATACATACACACGGTGTGGTCAGCAAGTACACATATGTACAAAACGATATGTATAATATCTGCGGAGAGGGAGGCGAGAGAACGCATCTCGGCCTCGTAGTTGATTCATTAACATTACGTGGAAGACGGTAGATGTATGGAAGGCACTGAACTTACATTGTACGCTAGATCGCGCGTGATTCGCGAGCGCGATTTTACTGAGAATAAAAAGACACTTGACAATTTTTACTTCTGGAATATAAAGGCCATTGAAATAAATTTTACTCTTTGCAAAAATAAACTTTGTATTCCACGAATAAATGTTCAGGTATCCTTTTTTTCTCAGTGCACACAGTGTTCCTGAAAATAGCGACACGCTCGAAGAAATCCGGCGACATTCTGTGCACGTATGCCTGCG